AAGGTAAAGAACATATGCACAAAGAGAGAGAGAGGCTGAGCTGTTCTCTAGGATGATGATTTTTAATTTTAAACCCTAACAAACAAAAGCTGCTGGTTCACATCTGTCAGTAGAAAGATGTCTTGGCAGACAGAAGACACAAGACTGGCTGTGGTAGATGCTGAAACATTTTAGGAGGCAACAGAGGTGATTGAGTTCCCTGAAGTGCAAGGAAAGGTCAGAGCTGCACACCTTGAGTGGAGAGACTGTCAGTCTGGAGGCTGGGAGAGTAGCTGTGAACTGCTTCACTTCAGCTCTTGTTTCATTCCATATGCAAGAGGCAGATACTCGGGGTGAGTGGCCTGAAAAATCAAACTTCTCTACTGGAAGAGTATGATACCAGGGGAACAAAACTGTTCCTGCTCTGATTTTCTTGACCAGGCTCAAATCTGGGGTGCCTGACTGCTTTGTAAAGCTTTTTATGTGACCTTTTGCTTTTTCATCTTCAGGGGCTTAAATCCGAAACCAATACTTCAGGATTATTTTAGGTACCAACTCAGCAGAATTTTGGAAGACTAATGGCAAAGCCACATTCACCCAGGTCACACTCTGCAACCAGAGAGTGTCTTGGTTGTCACACCTAGAGAAGTTTGCTGGTCCCATGAATGTAGCTGGTGATCTTTGGTATTTTTAGTCCAGAACTTTCCAGATCCTGCCCCAGAGAACATGAACTGTTGTTATGTTCACTGGAAGCTGTGTGAGGAACAGGTCACTCATCAAAGGAGAGCAGAAAACACTCTGGATTTCACAACTGATATATCACATTCAATTTTTTTTTTCCAAATACCTATTTGTCCTGCCTCTGGCATCTACAACAAATCTCTTCAAAGTAGGAAACTCTTTTGCCTGATCTGACATGCCTAAAAGAAAAGGCAAACTTTTTCTGCTTTTTTGTTCTAATGGATACAAGTTATAATTTGCAAAACAGTCACATGGCATACTGCCATGTCAATCAAGCTTTTTAAAATGAGAGTTGTTTTAAACACTGCTTGTTTAAATCTTGTGTCTACACAGGCTTACACATCTATGCTTTCAATGAAATTAATAGTTGTCAAAAGAACAAAACACGTATTATCTGTTTCTTGCACTGGTTTGAGCAATAATGAATACTGTTAGAAAGGAAGACTCTGGCAGATATGACAGACTTGGAATCTTGTTTTGTTGGTTTTTTTAAATCACATCAGGAACATTGGATATGAATTAAAACTTGTTATTGCATGTGGAGAGAATCAAATGTCTTGCAAAATTAAAATCACCTATTTTAATTTATCTTTGTTTCCACAATTTTGGGAGAAGAGGGGAGCATTTTCTCATCATGAAATTTTTTCGTTCACGAAATGAAGTTTTGTATGAAAACAACATATATTTGAAATTGTCAGAAAGATTCAACCGTGAAAAAAGATTTTAAATGTGTGTCTAAAGAATTTTTTGATTTATAATACAATTTCCCAAAAATCTGTTGTGGAAAATAGTTTTTCCCAGAATTGCCAAGGGAAAACCTGTTCCCACCATTCAACTTTTGCTGACTCTTTTGCCTGATCCACAGTCTCATGAAGTCATCTGGAGCTTTTCCATTACCCTTTGTCATGTTCTCACTGATGCTTCCAATTCCTAGCTGGTTTCTCTCTGTACTTATTGCTGAAAAATCCTGTGCTGAGTTATGGGACACTAAGCAGACTCTGTTGCAGATTAGATATTTTCTCTCACCTTTGGGTTCAGCTTCAAAAGTGCCATCTTTTTTCTGTTCTAATTTTCTTAACTCCTCAGAGCTTTAATTCAGCTGCTAGAGGTGTTTCCCTTTTTTCCTCTTATCAGATTACTTTCAAATATAAATGCTGCTGCCATATTTGATGCTATCTTAAATTTCTTTTTATATTTCTTTTTAGTCCTTTATCTTTTTTTTTTTTTTTTTTCTGAAATCTTTGGTGAGTTAAGAGCCAGTACAAAGATAAATTATTTAGGGCACCTGGGTTTGAGTTACAGTGGGCAGATATAAAACTCAGTTCCATTTTGGGGTCTAAAAATTACATTTACAGCTAACCAGGATCCTTGTTCATATATCTGAAACCAGGAAAAAGCAAAGTTTAGCCACTTATAATCTGTCTCTCATCACTGTGATTTATTATCAAAGTGGTAATTCACTTTAACTGAGAGTACCTATGCCTGAAAATCTAAAGCTCAGCACTAAAGTAGAACAATGGTAAAATTTGTATCCAAAAGCAATAGTCTAATACCCTGCACTAAATCAAGGAAGGAAGTTCAGTCAGGCCTCTTTTCTTTTTCTTACAGTGACTTCTGAACTGAATGTTCTGCAGATTCTGGGTGGTGTCTTGAGACTGATCACCAAATGACTCCACACACTCACAGGGTATGTTTTTGAGTCCCTTGGAGTAGCTGTGACCCCTGATTTAATCCACTCGAGCAGGTGAAGTTCATGCCTTCCTTGTAAAGATTGCCCTTGCAGACATGCACTGCCATTGTGGAGTGAGTTCCTACTGAATGTTATCAGGGTAAACTGTAATTTTCTCAGCGCAGAGAATGAGTTTAGAAATATGATTCTTTTTAACTCCTGCAGCAGTCTCCAGACTACTACAGTTTGTGCCATTTGAAATTGCTACTGGATGTCATTGGGCTCAGACAACTCAGTCATAGAGGGACTATCACTGACATTTGTGATCCTGAGATGCCATGTACAGGCTTTACATACACCTAAAGCTTATTGGAGACAATATGTTTGTCATGGACTTCAGAGAGTTAAACACGAAACCACACAAGCACAAACAAAATCTCAACACTGACTTGCTCTGGAAACAATTACAGATGAGTCTCTTCATAGAGAGTGAAGTCCTTCTTTTACCTATATCTGAATATTCAGCACTAATCTTCTTACTGCTTATGCCTTCCTTAAAACTGTGTTGGAATATGTGAATATTGAATTATGAACGCATGAATATTAAGTTAAAAATTAACTGGGGATAACTTGTCTGTGAAGATGTGTCATGAATGTGAGCTGATGACAAGATTAATTAGCATCACGGCAAAATGTGAAAGATGCAAGAAAAATAGGTTAGGAAAGAAAGTAAAATTAAAAATACAAATAAAGAGAAAAAATCCTCTTGGACCATTTCACAGAAACTAACCTTAGATGAACCACTGGATCCATTAATCTTGAGTAGATGAAAATTGTTGGTACCAGCTGGCAACTAAGCAGGAGTCCAGCTGGATTCTTGTCCTGCTTGGACATTCACAATGCAACCTCTGTATGCCTTGGGCACGTAGCATAAACATTTTTCTCCTCGTTTTTCTCCACAAAGGCAGATGTAGATGTCCTTTATTCCACTGCACTTCAAGTTCAGCTCAGAGTTGGCTGCAGCTGCCTTTGGCTCAGCCTGTCAGAAATGGGATTTCTTTGGTGAGGCCATTCAGTTTTGCTCTAACTTTGCTCTCTATCATGATCACCAATGAAAAGAGGTCACATAGTACCTGGGTGTTCCCCAGGTACTTTGGAAATCCTTTCTAATCCCTCCTACAAGGCAGACAGGAAATACTGGAAGGAAATACAGTGAAATGTCTACTTTGGAAGAAAAAACACACCAGTTTAAGATGACAAGCTTAATTAATACAACTGAAAAATTTGAGAGAGGTAAGCAAAAGGTCAGGAAATAGAGAGAAGAATAAAGTAATGTTATTATGTATTTAGGACTCTGGAAAACAACCACAACTCTACTTGAATATGTGTTGATTTTCATATCCATTAACTCCTTTGCTTTATTCACTTGTTTACTGATTATTCAACATTTTTGTGTACCCAGATAAGTCAGAGAATCATACAATCATTTAGCTGGGGAAGACCTCTGAGACCATCTAACTCAGCCATTAACCCAGGTACTACAATACATCATGTGTACTACAACATCACCTGCAATGTAAAGTGATTGCTCTTAATAATCTTCAGAACTGTTGTCTTTCTTCCTCTTTCCTCCTCTCCCTCCACTCTGACATTCACTGCTGCTCCTTTTTAAATTGGAGTCATACTTTTTGCAACTGTTTCATCTTTTTTAAATTATCTGGCTTCAGGCTGGTGCAAGTTTTATTTGTCATTCATTTCTGGATATTAATCATTCCTTACAAATTACCATTCTAATGCTAAGTGCAGACATAGTGTTAATGTCTCCTGTAATTTTTCTGTGATTCAGGAACATTTACAGTCTTTAACTATTCCTAGAGGGAACATTTGAAAAGAACTTAAAGCAGTATAGCAAATTAAATACATGAAAACTTCCAAAAATATTGAAAACATAATCTGCCTTTAAGTATGGTGACTTTTGTGTTATTCTTCTTTAATATCTTTTTTCTTCAAGATGTTGTAGACTTTAAGCCACATGGAAAAAAATTGCCTGCTATTGAAAACATCCACATGGCAAGCATTTGTTTTAGCCCATATCTGGAGTTGTCTCATGTTTCCATCAAGCTGGTGAGGGGACTACAAATCACTTGCATGCAGAGAGCAGCACAAAAGGGACTTGGGAAGGACACACCTGCCTTCCACTGAAATTTTTCCTCTGATTTATTCACAGATAGAGGAGAAATACTTCAAACATGTCGAAGTCCTAGAGAGACCTTGTCAGTTCCCTCATCTATCAGTGTCCTCGGAACAGTGATGAAGATCATCATGAGCACAACTCCTGTATTTACATTCAAGAAGCCACCTAAGAGATGACAGATATAACTTTATTACAGTAGGTCGTTTGCCTGTGATGTGATGAATTGAGTTCCCTTTTTCTTCCCGTTCTCATCTTTTGTCCTTTCTGAACTTCAATAAACCAAACTGTCGGTGGTTTTCCAGAATATATTTCTCATATTTCTGTTCAAATTTTCTTTTTTTTCCTTCTTCTCTCTCTGTTTTTTTTTTTTTTTAGTATTTTATTTTCAGAGACTAACTGACATAACTGGATGCTGTGAACTTGCATTTTTATAATATTGTTTCTTATAATAATAACATTGACTATGAGGTGCATGGAGAGGGGAAGACTTGGGTTCATATTCCCTGGGCATCCAGGGACAAGCTACTGAATATCTTTGCCTGTGGAAAATTAGGAGTTTCTTTTCTGCTGAGCCTCAAATCACTGAATAAATGTCTGTGAGAAAGATATTAGTATATCTGCTACTGAAAATATAACTCTCTCTTTAAAACATGATAAGCTTATCTGCTCTGTGATGGTGGCTCAATTTGTCTAATTTTCTCAGCCTAATATTTTTATTTTTTAATGCATCTTTTTCTGTTTGTTTTCTTTATTTTCCCCTCCTGATAGCTTTTTCTCAAAACCGAGAAAATATGTACTGTCGTTTCTTTGGCACTTTTTTCTTATGACCTCTGTAGTATATAACAGCAATTTATGGAAGAAAAGTAATTTTATTTTCTTTTTTTTCTCCTTATTTGCTTTGTAATTTGCTTAGACATGTTGTGGAGTCAGTTCAGTGTTCAGCAGCTAATGTAAATGCTTGTGACAAGCGAGACTTATGACAATTTGAGCAAAGTTTCAGTGTCATTGTATGCAGTATTTAACATTTTACTTTAGCACAGCTGGGCTGAAATATTCTCCAGAGTGCCTTGCAGTTGTTTATTGTTTGCTTGTTTTTCAAAAGACTTGAACAACACCAGAGAAACAAGGAAAAATTGAACCCTCCTTAGTTCAGATGTCTGTGCATCTTGAACTTAATCCTGTGCGTTTGAGATGCTTTATTTTATTTTTAATAGTACACTCAAGGAAAGGATAACACATATTCTTAGATGCTCTCAGAGCTTCCAAATTCACGAGGGTATATTTTCCCTCTCACTGCTTCTCCATCTATGCTCTGATTAATGCAGATGTGAGTTATGCATCAGCATCAGGGGGAGAATTTTACGGCAGCTGCTGAGGCGCAGCGAGGCTGAGTGGGTGTGAGGAGAGAATAAACAGCAACTCTTCGATGGGAGTTCAAAAAGGCTGATGAGGAATGTGTCTAGAGAAAGACATCTCATCTGTTCTGCCCTATTCAGAATCACAGGCCAGGCACCTAAAATAATGAACATCATCAGAAGACTGATGAAGGACCGTTGAGGCCCTTATCTGCTCTAAGGAGGATATGCATTGATTTTTGTTTGTAGGTAGAAGAATTCTCCAGACTTAAAAAGCCAAGCAGTCTGCACCGTGGAAAAGTGAATCGAAACAAGAGAAACTACCTTGGTCTGAGAGGTGGGCATTTGAGACTTGGGGGGAAAATGGGAGTTGAAAATGTAATGCAGAAATATTTGGAAATGTATGTTTTTACTGACTGTCAGGAAGAATCTCTTCAGTTCTTCCTAACTTTTTTCCATTTGTGCTTTTTCCCACTATTTTGAACTTTCTGAAAGCATGAAATGGCTGTGCAAACATTTCAGGAGTGACTATAGTAACTTCTTTCTTCAATACATTTCTTTATGCTTTTAATCAGCTCTAATGCAGAGCAACTGCTACTTGTGAGCAAGTGCATAGTAACGAGGAAAGTGAAATATAGCAGGAAAAATTAAAGAAAAGGAAAGGAAATTATTTAAAAGACAAAAAAGAGACTAAAGAATATATCTGGAAACTTTCATAGAATCATAGTACACTTGGTGTTGGAAGGTACCTTTAGAGGTCTTCTGGACCAAGTCCCCTGCACTGAACAGAGAAATCTTCACCTAGATCAGGTTGCTCAGAGCCCCCCATCCAACCTGACTTGAATGTTTCCAGGGGTGGGGCATCCACCACCATTCTGGGCAACCTGTATTGGTGTTTTACTCCCCTTATTGTAAAACACTTCTTCCATATATCTGATCTAAATCAAGCCTCTTTTCCTTTAAAACCACTGCCCCTGTCCTACCGTAGTGTAAAGCTCTGTCAGTGAGCCCTGCAGGCTCATGAGCAAAGATCTTCTTGCCCTTTTGAGAAAGGTGAGTCCCATATTACTGGCAAATATACATGGAAGAGTTTCATATGTTTATGTGTTTTATGTTATTAAATTACGGATGAGTGGTCAGTTTTCACAGAAACATGGAAATTCCTCATTCATGAAGTCTGATCCTCTGCTACTGGGAGAAACTGTCTTGCTCATGTCTTCCTCAAGCTTCACTGTGTAGTGAAGGAGTCACCTGGTAGCTATCCCAAGAAACTATTCTTCTGGATCATCATGGCAGGACTTATTTATCTACACAGCATCTGAAATCTGATCCACTGGTGAATACAACCTTTTTTTGCTGTCCATCTTCTTCCAACGACACAAAGGCTGACACAGTGGCCAGGAGGCAGGATTGGTAAGGAAGGAGACAGGCTTGGATGTAGAAGGTTGCCCACCTTTCAAGCTGTAGCTGTGGGCCCCTCTGGAAGCATATAGAGACATAGAGGTGTCTCTGTACCCAGCTATCCCTTGGAAGGAGCTTTGGGAAACCCTGCAAAGAAATAATACAGTCATAATTCAGGACACAGATGTTAATCTGAGTAGTTAGCAGTACAGTCAGACTCTTCCTAAAACAGAAAACTGGCGTCTATCTTTTAAATTTTTTAGCAGCAAACCTGAGGTGCTATTTTGATAGGAAAACAGAAAATAAAATTATTGTTCTTTTTAACATTGAG